AGTGTGTCTCGCATTTGCGTCGCATCCTATCAGAATTTGTTCCCTCTGATTTTGGGCGATAAATTGTTCCAGTTGGTCGGGTGGGGCGTCCCTGTCATGAGCCAGGTAGGCAGATGCCAGGAAGATATTTTGGTGACCTTCCCTCTCCACTTTCACCACGGTTAAGTCTGCTGTGCTGTAATTTGGACAGAGAAATGCATTAATACCTTTTTTGATTAAAATGCATGCTCTCGGTTTACCTGTGTTACCACTATAAAAGAGGTTATGTGTACTGCTGTTAAGTCCATGGATCTGATCACCTCTGACCCACGGCTCCTGGATTAGGCTGACGTCCATGCTTCCCTCTCCGAGAAGGACATATTGAGTGCTGCAGATTAATCTGTACACACTTCATCTTCGGCGGGGGCTGCATCGGTGATGTTGACGTCCTTCAGCAACTGGCTCGCATCGTCGACCTCCTCTGTGTCGTCTTCATCTGGAGCCTTGTCGCCTACAAAAATCTTCATCTTGGCCATGCGGATGCCAAAACGAATTCTGTTGTCCGCCTTTGACAGAGCCTCAATAGATTCTTCGCAAATGGCCAAGAGAAGAGGTTTGCTGGTTTTATTTGGCTGCTCAACTTTTATAATCTGTCAGTTTTCTACACACGGTATGTGTTTGTTGGCGAGCTTTAGGCACCTCAGAAGTTTCTCGCCTGGTTCCTCCATGGGGGGTAACCAGATACGTGCACGTGGCCTCTGAGGGACGTCCTTAGCTGGAATCCGCCTTAGTTTAAGGCCGACGAATGCTTCGCTTATTTTAGCGACGCACCCAGCTAAGAAGTCCAAAGAAGCTTGGTCCGCGCATCTGATAACCGTGTATCCTCGAAAGGATCCCGAGGAATCAAACTCCGGATGGGGACCCGCCGGGTTATCGAGGACGTAGTCCATAACGAGACTCGATAGCTCGACGTCGATCTCCACCCAGTGCTTCTGTATAGATACCGGAGTCTTCGAGTTTTCGTCGACTATGGCCATCAAGAGACTGTCTTTGGCAACGTCACTAAAGTGGCGATCTGGAAGCTCCCTTTTGGGGAATTTCCATGTCGTCATTTAAGCACCTTCGCCACGGCAAGACGACCAGCATTGAAGGAGTGGGCCACGGAGTACTCCAAAATCAACCACAATTCTTATAAAAAAATAACATTGCGATGTCCTAGGGCAGGACCATATACTCCATCTCTGCATTACATCAGAGTAGCACAAAACCACTCCAACATATCAACAATGGCATTGTTGATATATTTTTTCGTTTGTACACGCTTTTGTTCTTCACTTCACAGATGCTTTTTCGCAATTAATAAAACCAAAAACAAAAATAAAAACTTAAATGTTGCCTCTGACGGCATTCAAACCCGAACATGCTGGGAGCTAACAAATAACAGCGAGCATCTCTACACGTTCGGCTAAAGCCAGACATGCAAATGTGCTTTCAAATGCTCAACTACAATCACATATCGTTAAAATACGAGCAGTAATCGGGTAACAATAATCTGGTGCAGAGACACGAGTTGGTCCGCTACAGCATGACAGAGGAACACTTTTGTGAGTACTCCGATATATCACAAATAGACTCCGTGGTCAACCGATTTTTTCAGGGTGCATTTAACGCACACAGTCTCACTTATTGAATCATTTGAATGTGTTAGAATGCCGACCACTCCCAGTAAAAATTTTAAGCATACGACATCGCTGTTGGTGGCATGAGCTTGCTGCTGTGTATACATGCCAATATAAATGAACCTTCATTTCCATTTAACACGCGTGGTTTCTCAGAGCGTATGCGTACCTTAATCATGCACTTGTACTACTGCTGTATGCATATGGCTGTATTAATGTTTCAAACATACACAAATGCATTAATGGAACAGTATTAAAGCATTCTTACAAGATATGTATCCCCATATGTAAATGCTACTTTTCTGATTCATTTTAATATACGGGGACATACAAACAAGTAGCATTTACATATTCAAATGCATATCTTGTAAAAGCCCGTTTGTGCTGAAAATAGTCTCGCACAACACGTCTGTTCACAAAAATTTTTGTACAAGACTGAAAATATTACAAAAATTCCACTTCAAATTTATCAAGAAATGAACTTAACGCAACGACAACGTTCATTCGCTTGCAATTCGCTGGAATTTGAATTTATTCGTGGAAATTCATGACTACGCATGAATTGTTCACACTATTCACTCATATAGCAAGCATTCTTCACGAATGCATACAACCGATTTCTACTGGGCTGCTCTAAATATTTGTTGCTCTGCTGTTAGTGCCGTCGCCGGCAGCGATCACCGTTTCATTCACGCTGCTTCGTGTTGATGTATATATGTAGTTGCGCTACATATGTACTTACATACGTGCATATAAATTCATACCAAAGGAACACAGCGCCGTTTGCGCCGGCGTTTAGCCACAGTACTTGTTGACCCAGTTCCATTTTCTTATACGAATTTCTATGCACTTGTACATATGTATGAAATTGCAACTCATACGAAAAGTGGATTAACCCAGTACGAAATCCTGCAAGCATCCGCAATTTGTGAAAATCTGAGTACATTCGAATTGTACCCAGTATCGAAACACAATAGCACTTAAGAAACATTCACAAATCTTTATAAATCGCTAAAATTTTATCAATCTCATACTACGTTTATAATACCTCGAGAAAATAAAAAACAAGTTTTCATTATTTCATCGACTTATGTATGTCTGGATTTGCATTGCTACACAGACATAACCAAATTAATTTCCCATTAAAATTTTAATTCTTTATGGACATTCCAAAATAAAACAAGTAAGAAAGTCTAAGTTCGGGCTTTGCCGAACATTAAATACCCGGCGCAAGTATTAAATATATGTTTTTCACCTTTATGAAAGCTAATGCTACATGTATCAATTTTGAGTAAATTAGCGTACTTACATATATGTCGAAATATTGAAGTTTCAAGCATTTCTGAAATTTACCGTTATATGAAAAGCGGACGTAATTTTAGTCCGATTTCAATAATTTTCAAAGTTTTGCTTTTATATGGCAAGCATAATAACCGGACCGAGTTTGGTACAAATTGGTAGAACGGTTACCCAGATACATATATGTGATCATAAGTGGGCGGTGCCACGCCCATTTTCCAAAATTTTATTATAAACGTTTTTCGTGGTAAAGAATTGTTGCAAGCTTCAATTTTGAATAAACTAGCTTCAATATTTACTGATTTATCGAAGATTTCGTATTTCTCTAAATTACCGTTATAAGTGATGTGGGCGTGGTTATTGTCCGATTTTAAAAATTTTCGGCCATTTAGTATGCTGTGCTAAGGCCAACCACTGTGCTAATTTTGGAAGAAATTGGTGCAGCGGTTACCAAGATATACACATGTAACCATAAGTGGGCGTGGCTACGCCCATTTTCCAAAA